TTGGGGAGAAACTTACAGCGAGGACACGGGAGGGCAGGGGGGCAAACGCTGTTTCTTGGCGCTCAGCGGCGTAGAGCTAGGAAGGGAGCGCGTGCAGGGAGGCACGGGGGCGCCTGTTGCCAGGCGCTTAGGGAGGCACGAGGGGCCTTTTGGGAGCCGGGATTGGGAAGGCAACTCGGGACCCCTAGGCCTCGCTGAGTTTAGCGTCGTTCTGCGGCGAGTGGAGTTTCACGGGAGGGCTTTTGGCACGGGGCGTCCACTCGGCAGATCGCTGAGAGCCAGTTAGGTGCCGGGAGTCTCGGGCTGTGGGGTGCAGCCGTGGCAGAGCCGGGCGTGACCCTTGCCTTTGCGGAGTTCCCAGCTCCCCGAAGGTGGGAAACGACAGTGATCACATCTCTCAGGGAGTCTTGATAGCCGTCGTGTAGGTTTCGTGGGCAACAGGGAGAGGCAGGGAAGCTTTCGAGAACTTGGGCCAGGGTAGTGGAAAAGAGAGATGGGGGAGGTCTGCCGCTGGCAGCTGAGTGTTCCGCAGGTTACCTGCAGGGGTGAGCAAAGACGGCTTGGGACTTGGGTGAATACCCACAGGTGAAGTGGAAGCATGACTGTCTGGGCAGTGAGTGAGAGGCAGTCGGTCCATCTGGATTAGGTCAGGTTCGAGGTTCTCATGGGCCGTCCAGGTGGAGACACCAGGCAGTTGGAAGTGGAGTTTGGCTCTCAGAGGAGAGAGGAGGATGATCCGCTTGGCTCTGAGAGCTGTTTTAAGCAGCATTTTTTCCCAAAGACATTGAGCTAAGCCTGGTGGAACTATAAAAACCTAATTGTGAGTTGGTTTTCAGATTGGAGAGGGAAAACCCTGTATTGTATAATCTATCTGACGGCCAAAGAAATTTAGGGGAGAGCCGGGCTCGGTGGCTCAGCCTGTAATCCCGCACTTTGGGAGCTGAGGTGAGTGGATTGCCTGAGCCCGCGGGTTCGACACCCGCCTGGGCAACTTGGCAAGACCGCATCTCTACAAGAAATCAAAAAAATTAACCGGGTGTGGTAGTGCATGCCTGTAGTTCCAGCTACTTGGAAGGCTGAGGCAGAAGCGTCGCTGGAACCCAGCAGGTTGAGGCTGCGGTGGCCGGCAGCAGCCACTGCACTCCAGTCTGGGTGACAGAGTGAGACTCCAACTCAAAAAAAAAAGAAATGCAGGGGATAATGTGTCAAGTATCATAAAAGTCTGGGGTGGGGCTTGGGGTGCATCCCCAAAGAGTGGAAGACATTTTCTAGGCTGTGGTGGATCCGCCTCTCCAGCCAGCCATAAAACGCTCCACAAGAAAAGCTGCTGCTGTTCAGAAAGTGTGTTGTACTAAAGAGTTAAATCCCTCCTCGAGGGCAACCCCTTCCGGCCCCTCCCACTGTGGGAGCTTTTCTGTCCTCTCAATAAACCGTGCTTTCTCAAAAAAAAAAATCCCTCCTCAGTCTAATCTTCTTAAATGCACCCTGCAGACAGCCTCCAGAGTGGCCTGCCTGAAACTCACTCCAGACCTTTGCATGACTCTCCTCAGGATGACTGAAGCCTTCCCAGCAGCCAAAGCCTTTCTGTGGTCCCGACCTGCCCAGTTTTCCAGCCTCCTCCCCCTGGTGCTGTGTAGACACTTGTGTGTGCTGCTGTTGCCTCTGACAAAGTTTCAGAGTGGCACTTTGGGGCTAGGATGTGTCTGTTGTCCTACTGACCACTCTGCACCCAGTTGGCTTTTGCTTGTTCGTTAAGCTTTCCTAACTCTGCTCCTCACCACCTTTTTCAGAATTCAATATTTACATATCTGTCTTTCCCACTAGAGCACACTCTTCTAAGGCAGTTTCTCTGACGTCTGTTTTTGTTTCCAGGGACTTAGTGCAGTGGAGGCATGAATGGGTGGGCAGATGGAGGTATGAACGCGTGGGCAAAAGGATATATGGGGCTTTCATTCTAAGGTGACACGAAAGTTAATAACGGAGTTAGCACCAGGTAAAAGCAAAGGCTTCCTAGAGAAGATGGCTTTATTGGAATAGAGGATTGAAATGCGCGTTTTCTGCATGGTCTCCTTCAATACTACGCTCCTGAAGTGGCCGTGTTAACGTTTATAGTAGATTCTTCCCTAAGTTGTTAATATTTATTATATATATAAATATATATACACTGACTCACAAAAACATGCCCAAAGTACCAGGTTTTCTCCTTTCTTAAACAAAAACGGGATCACACTATACACTCTATCTTTGGTATGTGACTTACTCTGACATTTAATTTTTTATTGTGTCATTTGAAAAATTCTGCCTGTAATCACTGCACTGATTTCTCAGCCTACTAATGAGTCATGAACAACACTCTGAAAAACCCTGTATGAGACCCACGCAGGCTTGGTCCTTGAACAAGCTTCACATGGAAAACTGCATGAAAACCGAGGCCGATGTCCTGAAGCGGCACAGATGCGGCCCTTGTCGTTTCCCTCTTCCCTAACACCTTGCAAGTGGCTGCCCCTCAGAACTGTAGGAAGCAGTGTTTCTGCCTGTTGGTTTACTGGGGGGAGCATCGGCTGCCCTCCTAGGGGACCTTGGACAACATTGTGTGCCAGGTTATGCCTGAGACGAGCGTCTGACTTCCTCTGAGTATTAAGCCACAGGCGCACTGTACTGTGATCCTCAATCTGAGGGGCGGTAAGAATCTGTGAATTGTTGGAAAGTGCTGGGACCCGGGATGCAGTGACTCCTCCTCTTCGAAGCTGGCCTGTCTGTGCTCTGAATCTCACCTGCTGGAGGTCACTTGAGGGACCTCCCAAGGGGAGGGGGGCAGTGGTGTGTAAATCTTGATGCTTTTACAGAATTTCTTTGGATGTCTTGTGTTTATATTTCAATGATAACATAGTACTCGTTTTAAACTAAAAATATATTTTAATCCCTAAATCTCCGAAGTGAAATTGATACTTGAGGAAATCTCGAGGGTGTCATATACTCTCTGGTACACCCCCAGTTTGAGAAGCACAGACGATTCTGGTCCCAGTGGCCGGCCCCATCCTCCAAGAAGAAGCCAGTGAGAGCACAGTCAGCAGTATGTCACCGGACTGCCTCTTGGGGCCACTTGGCAGGTGGGACTCAGGATCTGCATTTTGTCTGCAGGCATGTTCTGTCAGCATTCGGAACCTACCCTGTGTCCCTGGAAGCAGGCTGGAGGGGCCTCTCTGGCCATCTCTTTTATACCAGCTCCATTTCTCCGGGGCCTGGACCCTCCTTCCTGCTTTTCTTGAATTCCCTCTACAACCTCGTTGTTCATCCAACAAAAACTATGGCTGCTGTGCGCCATGTCACATACTAAATGCTAGCACTCAGTGATGGGTAAAACCAGGTCCCATCTGGCAGCAGACACAAACACCTCCGGAGTGCACTCATAACAGCTGCCCTCACTGCGACCTGAAAAGAGGACCCTGAAGAAAGGGATCAGGACGCTTCTCTAGGTTTTTGGTGAGGAACATAACTTCAAAGGTCAGGGAAGGAAGGACATGACACTTGGGCCGAGCTCTGCGGAAAGAAGGGGTAGCTAGGTAAGAAAGGCGGGGAGAAGGTTCCCAATAGGACAGCCTGCGCCGAGAACCTGTGGCAGAGAGGGCGCGTGGTCCTGAGGAGCTGAGACCTGGGGCGGGAGGGTGGTGGGAATGAGCTCAAGAGGGGGCAGGGCTGGGTGGCGCCATGCTCGGGACTCAGTTTGTCGTGGAAGGAGCGGGAGCCCGGTGAAGAGTCACGCTCTGCCTTGCGTGGAGCAAGCCGGTGTCAGTGGGGAGGGGCACGGAAGGGGCCTCTGGCAAGACGGAAGCAGCGAGGGCAGCTGCTGGGTGTGCTTAGGCTGCCCCCCCCAAGGACGCCCTCCCTGGGCCCCCGGTGCTTCTGCAGCCCTGGCCCCTCTCGCACTGCCCTTCTCCTCTCTCCCCTCCTGTCTGAAGACCTGCTTTCCAGCCACTGTCCCCTGAGCTGACCTGCTGGTGGACACACCCACACCCTTGGAGTGTCACCTGTGGCCCCCCAGGCTGTGGGGAGCGCAGAGGGTCTGCTCTGCCTGCATGCAGTTGGGCATACTGTGTTGCCATGACTCCTATGCCCTCAAGGTTCCTGCTTCCTGGGACATTTTGCAACCCCTTATCCTTACACAAACATGAGGAAGGACGCCCTTTCTCTCCTCACTATAAAACTGAAAGGTCTGTGCTGGCGGGGTATGAAGGTGATGCAGGTCGAAGCACCCCGGGACTGTTCATTCCAGGTGTCAGGGTTTACCTCAACAGGGATGCGATTCCAGCCCTCCCCACCGCCGTTACTCAGGTAACCAAAGACCCTGCAGAGTCCTCGTGGCTGATCTAGAGTTTCTCGACTCCCTGGACCAAGCAGTCCTCGATCGGAGAGTTGCTGTAGAGTGTCTCCAAGCCAAGCAAGGAGGAGGCTGTGCAGTGGCCAGACCGCCTGTTGCACTTACACGTCGACATCTTACATGAGCCAGAAACTTTATGGAAGGAATTTCCATATGCGCTAAGTGGCTACAAGACGCGTGAACTCTGGTTCTCTGTGACCTACTTAGCCGGCTTCCTCCCGGACTGGGAAATCCCTTCTGTGCTGCCGTCTGGGTTTTTGTTGTTCTCATCGACCCCATCCTACTTTTTGTCTTAACATGTAAGTCACTTACAGTATGTTTAATCCACTGCTGTAAGTCCACTGTTAAAACCAGAATTATGGCGGCTTGAGGCATGGAATTTGCAGAGGTTAATGCTGTAACTCACCTTTCAGTTCTCATGTTGCGTGTGCCCGCCGCTTTTCCCATCTGGCCTGGGATTCAGGTGGCTCGAGGTCCCTTGCCACAAGAGTCCCACCGAGGGACTGGATGAACCCAGGACAGGTAGACACACCCTGGCACCTTGTCCCTGGCAAGGACGTGGGACACAATAAAAATCTGACCATCAGTGTTGCCTGCAGTGGGTCTTGGCCAAAAGGGGGAAATATGAAATAAAAATAAAATTCTAAGCCCTCCTGACCAACTGAATGGACCCCTTCCCACACCCACCTCCTCCCCATGGCCAAGGAGACCCTGGTCAAATGTTAAAACGAACTTTCCCAACCACACAGAGAGGCCGGTCATGCCTCAGTACACCCCCTTCCTGAGTTACACAGAAACCAGCCCAGAAACACTGTGTCACTCCAGCCCCTGACTTCCACCAACCACCTGACAGGGCAGCTGGGCTTCCCTCCTGTTTTGCAATTTGAGCATAACTGCTGACGGTTTCACAACACATTCCTTCCTGGTAAATAGCCATGGCCACGGGTTAAGTCTCCAGAGCAAATGTGTGATGTGTGTAACACGTATGTTTGCTTATCGTGTGTACACATGACCCCCTTCCATGAATATCCATAGCTGCTCCTGAAAGCCGGTTAAATCCATATGTTTAGCCAGCTGTCTTGGGATGTTCCTGGCCCACGGTCCCTCCCTGGACATGCCCGCTTTGGTTGGTCTCAGCTGGAGGCTTTGCTTCCAGCCTGCCAGCTGCACCCTGTCATGAGAAATAAAGTTCTTCCCAGGTGTACAGCTCTCGGCACCTCGCAGAGCATCCTCTCTCCTGCCTTGTTTGCTGAACAGCATTGTCATTAAGTGCCCCGTTTGCTGTCCCTGGTTCCCTCGATCGGGGTGACGGCAGTGTAGCATGATCCACTGAGGCACTGAGTCACTTGGAGTTGTGGTTTTCTCTTGGTTACACGGTACACGGTTTTCCACTCTGTTTTGCTTTGAAAAATAAAGCTCCTTAATACTTAAGTTGTTTTTAGCAATAAAACCTTAATGCCAGCATCGAAAGATAAAAAGCTCATGAGGAAAGCATCCCTGACCCCTGTGGGTGGTGGGCCACTGAACGCAAGTGTCCTCCCTTCCCTCCCAGCAGAAGCAGCGGCCCACACTCTGCGTTCTTTTTCTTCCTGTCGCTTCTCCTGCTTGCTTCGTCTTTCAAACTACTCACTGTCTGTAGCTGGGTCTGCCTACAAGTTGGTTTTTATACGGTATTTATCTGCTTTTTTGAGTTTGCTTGGCAGTAGGCATACTTTTTTTTTTTTGAGTTGGAGTCTGTCACCCAGGCTGGAGTGCAATGGCACATTCATGGCCACCGCAGCCTCAACCTTCTGGGCTCAGGTGATCCTTCCGCCTCAGCCTTCCAAGTAGCTGGAACCACAGGCATGTGCCACCATGCCCGGCTCATTTTTTGATTTATTGTAGAGACAGGGTCTTGCCAAGTTGCCCGGGTTGGTCTCGAACCTGTGAGCTCAGGCAATCCTCTCACCTCAGCTTCCCAAAGTGCTGGGACTATAAGCTTGAGCCACTGCGTCCAGCCAATTTTTTTTTTTTTTTTGAATTGGAGTCTCAGGCTGGAGTGCAATGGCATGCTCATGGCCACTGCAGCCTCGACCTGCTAGGCTCAGGTGATCCTTTCATCTCAGCCTTCCAAATAGCTGGGTCTACAGGCCTGGCTGTCACACCCAGCTAATTCTTTTTTTAAAAAATTTACTGTAAGCCGGGCTCAGTAGCTCAGCCTGTAATCCCAGTGCTTTAGGAGGCTGAAGTGAGTGGATTGCCTGAGCCCTCAGGTTCGAGACCTGCCTGGGCAACTTGGTGAGACCTCATCTCTACAAGAAATCAAAAAAAAAAAATTAACCGGGCATGGTAGTGCGTGCCTGTAGTTCCAGCTACTTGGAAGGCTGAGGCGGAAGGAGCCCAGCGGGTCAAGGTTGCGGTGGCTGGGAGCATGCCACTGCACTCCAGTCTGGGCGACAGAGTGAAACTCCAACTAAAAAAAAAAAAAAAATTTATTGTAGACATGAAGTCTTGCCAAGCTGCCCAGGCTGATGTCAAACACCTGGGCTCAGGCAGTCCTGTGGCCTCTGCCTCCCAAAGTGCTGGGATGATAGGCATGAGCCACCATGCCTGGAGCCAACAGACATACTTGAGGGGGACTTTTACATGCTACTGTCATCAACCTAGAATAATCAAAAAGGTCAGGTGCTAGTTTGATGAGAGTTCATTCAGGCGCGAAGGCAGAGGCCTCGACCTGGACACAGCCCGGCGGCCTTGAGGAGTGCCCTGAGAGGAACTGAGTCCAAAAGGAGGGAGATGGGCCGCTCCTGGAGCTGCTGCCAGAAATGTGCACTCATTGACAGAAACGGCGTCTGCTGGGGATGGCTAGATGCCGCCGAGCAGCAGGTGTGTGGCATGCACGGGTTCCTCCTTGTCAGTCTACACCTGCATTTTGGGGCATCAAGAGGCAACTGTCCAGCTCACAGGTGTGAGATGTGACCGCTGTTAACATTTAAATGCCTCTCCGGGTCTGGAGTTTAAAGGTGCTCACGTTCCTCAGATAAAAGGTTTTCTGGGTCACAGATCAGAACGTTTTAAACAGGTTAGCTAAGGAGGACTTTGACTGGCTTTGTTTTCATGGTGGCATCATGAGTCTCACGTGCAGCCCATGTGGACTTGCATGTGGCTCTCCGAGGACACAGTCTGGGGGCTTGAGGGCCTCACCCACGTCACGTGGTGAGATGGTGTGGCTGATGCTGACTCAAATGCCATGTGCTGCTGGCATGTTGCAGTGTTTAGGCCCTGCTTAATAATCGTCATCAAATCATCGTGTGTTATCGCACTTTTAATTTTCGGAGTGCTTTCGTTCCCTTTTGGATTTGAGCCACACTGCGTGGCTGAAAGGAGAAAGCGTGCCCGCCATACTCGTGAGAAACGGAGGCTTGGAGAGGCCAATTCCTTGCCCAAGTTCACGCAACTCGTCATCGGCCTTCCCAGGAGTTCTCACTCCATGTTCTTCCCATAACTGCATCATTGTGCTTCCCTCGTTTTCTTGTGTTTCCTGGAACGTGTTCACACTGCCTGGGACTATCATAGCCTGGCTTCATATCTTGTCCTCTTGTCCCTTATGTTCTACACAGGACAGAACTTCCTGTTGCATCCAGGGTTTTGAAGACAAGTGTGTGTAACTGAGCGGGGTCTGGCCTCTTCTGGCTGCTTCTTCCCTAAGTATCTGCAGGGGGTGGGTTCCAGGATGCCCTCGGGTGCTCAAGTCCCTTGTAGAACAGTGCCATGTTGGCTTCTAGCCTGTGCACATCCTTGTGTGTATTCCAGTTCACATCCACATTACTTAAAATGCCTACTGCAAGGATAGGCCTTGTGAGTGGTAGTTGTGCTGTATTGTTTTATTTGGATTATTTTTCCTGATCATTTCAAGAATCCACGGTTGGTAGGCTCCGCAGAGGGGGGTCCCCCGGACACAGGGGTCAGCCGTTCTTGCCCCCAGCAGCTGGAGCAGCCTGTGCACTTTGCCCCGGCCTCCTCCTCTGCCTTTGGTTTCCTCTTCCACTGGGCTCCATTCAAGGGTTCCTTCCTTTTGGAAGCCTCTTCTGAGCCAGTGACCAGACTAGGCTGCACGTTCCTTTTCTGTGCCCCAGTACCAGTGTTTACTCTTTGTGATTGTTCATGGTGCTGCTTCTCCAATTCTGCAGTGAACTTCTTGACAGCAGGAAGTGTATCTTATTCATCTGTGGGGCGTCCCACGTGTCTACCACAGCAGCTGGGTACTGTTGGAGTAGATGAGTGTGTGCTTAGTACAGGAGCTTTTATTTAAAGTAGAAATTTTCAACAGAGACTCCAAATGATTGATTGGTTGTTTTCTTTTTGCCTTCCACAGATATTGGTATCAACTTGACAGATCCTATGTTCAGAGGAATTTATAGGGGGGTTCAGAAGCATCAAGGTAAATGTTTCCTTTATTAAGGCGAAGGGTTACTCTATGAAGACACAAGCCTCAAGGGAGCTTGAGAAGCCTAATTCACTCTTAAAATTGAAATAATAAAGAACTCAGTATGCATCACAGTAAAACTATAAAAGTAAAACATATATGTTGGTAAATCATGATCATGAACATTTATAAATCAGCTATTATAATAAAGCTGTAATTCAGCCCTTCTTTTCTGTAGAAGTTTATAATTTTGAATATATAGAACTTTAAATAACCATATGCACAAAAGCTAACAAGTAGTCAAATTTGTATTTACCAGATTTTCTTAATGTGGAATTTGTCTTTTACAGATGATTTACAGGATGTAATAGAGAGAGCTGTCCAGATTGGTGTTAAAAAGGTAACATCTTGGTTTTGTTTTGTTTTGTTTTTTTGAGTAAAAGTCTCACTCTGTCACCCAGGCTGGAGTGCAATGTCACTCTCATGGCAACTACAGCCTCGACCTGCTGTGCTCAGGTGATCCTTCCACCTCAGCCTTCCAAGTGGCTGGAACTATAGGTGAACACCACCATGCCCAGCTATTTTTTTAAAATCTATTTGTTATAGAGATGAGATCTTGCCATGTTATCCAGGGTGGTCTTAAACCCATGGGTTCAGGCAGTCCTCTCGCCTCTGCCTCCCAAAGTGCTGGGATTAGAAGCATGAGCCACCACCTGGCTTGGTTTTTGTCATTCTTGAGATCTTCTGGTTTGTTTTTAATTAAATTTTAATTAAAATTCTGTAGAGTAGAGGGGAATGAGCCAGTGCCACACTTGGGGTGCCTATTATCTACCTGTAATATTAGCAAGTTAATAGAAATAAAATATCAAAATATTCCCCATGCATGGTTCTTCCATGTGATAAATGGCAAAATCTCTTTGAGAAACAATGTTTAAACCTATGTGACTTACCAGGCTTCTGAAAAGGCAACTTGTAATAATTTTATAAAATAATTTAGCATTTGTTAGAATTCAGCAATCATCAGCAAGACATATTTCTGTCACCCAGTCTAGCTTTTTATAGTATGGGCATACTATTTCAAATAACCAGAAAAGTACTTTAATTTTTTTTTTTTTTTTTGAGTTGGAGTCTCACTCTGTCACCCAGACTGGAGTGCAGTTTTGACCAGGCCAGTGACTCACGCCTGTAATCCTAGCACATTGGGATGCTAAGGTGGAAGGATTGCTTGAGGTCAGGAGTTTGAGACCAGACTAGGCAACATAAGCAAGACTCCATCTCTACTAAAAAATAAAACAATGAGCCAGGCATGGTGGCACATACCTGTACTCCCAGTTACTAGGAGACCCAGGCAGAAGAATCTCTCGAGCCCAGGAATTCAAAGTTACAGTGAGCAATACTCACACCACTGCACTCCCGCCTGGATGGCAGAGCAAGACCCTGTCTCTAAAATATATATATATATTAATTGAAAATAAATAAATAAATTCATGTTAAAATAGCATGCTGCCAGGCATAGTGGCTCAAGACTGTAATCCCAGCACTTTGGGAGGCCAAGGTGAGAAGATTGCCTGAGCCCAGGGGTTTGAGACCAGCCTGGGCAACTTAGTGAGACCTTGTCCCTACAATAAATCAAAAAATTCGTTGGGCATGGTAGCACATGCCTGTGGTTCCAGCTACTGGGAAGGCTGAGACAGAAGGATCACTTGAGCCCAGCAGGTCAAGGCTGCAGTGGCCGTGAGCGTGCCACTGCACTCCAACCTGGGTGGCAGAGTGAGACTCCGACTCAAAAAAATAAATTAGTTAAATAAAATAGCATGCTAGCCCACACATACACATGAGAAATAAGGGTAAATTCCAAAGTATGGTATCAGGATACTTAGTAGCTAAAGCCTCCACATTGAATAACCTCAGGTCTTTTTTTTGAATTGGAGTCTCACTCTGTTGCCCAGACTGGAGTGCAGTGGCCGCTCCC